TTGGCGGCGAAGGATAATAAATATCTACTCAGCACCTTGGAAGCGGGTAGCAACAACAATTGTGCTCGACTAGAGAGTAGAGCCAGCAATGAGGGTGGAAGAGACCTGCCGCCATGGAACAATGGAAACCCTAAGGAAAACAACAGTAGGGGATTGAAGATATATATACATAGTAATTATGATTAATTAAGAAGATATATCGCAATCAAATATTGTACAAGATCTCTTTCCTTGATATCGATGAGGTAAGGCGGGAAGGCAAACGTTTACTATTGAAATTTTAGGACTTTTAATTTTGCTTCTAGTGCCTAAATATTCTTTACATTCCAAATAGATTTTGCCAGAAAAAAGTTCAAATACACAATTTTGTCATTGTGATTTATTAAGATAATTATTCATTTTAAGTTATAAATTATCAAAATCTAAGAGTCATCTCAACCTAAAGCATGATGAAATTGTGCTTTTGACAATGGAATATATTTTTACAAGTATACTATAGTAGTAGTAATTTCTCAAAATTCATTCACCTTTTTCACAAGGTATCACTCAAAAATAAGGTTTAAGAAGACGCTAGGCGTGATGCCTCGTTAGAGCCTAACTCGTTTGACGTAGCTTAAACGTGCTTAGGTGTTGAAGTGAAAATAACAGTTTGTACCAAATGATTATTGAAATACTAGTTTACAACACTTATGCACTTCCAATAAAATTATTAGTAACTTATTGAACACTAAATAACTATAAAAATAACTCACAAATTCATAGAAGTATAAATCATTTGCTCACAAAGTTCTTGAGCTATTAAAACATTTGAGAAGGAAGATTGAGTTTGCATATGATGTTAATTTTCCTTTAGAGATTGGTTGCCGAGTTCCACCAAATTACACCAAGGAAAGACCTAGGTGTCGCCTCTTAGTTCAATGTTGTATTTTGGATATCTAACTTGCCATGAAACCTCTATATGAGCCATTTTGAATTGTCTAACATCTAACCATAAGTTTAATTAAAAGTTCCTTTTTTAATTTCATTTAAGAGAATAATTTGAATAGTTGTGAGAGATTCAAGAAAACATCTTCTATAATAACTTTACATTCTTCTCAAGCAAACTCAAAACAGAGTTGATCCAATATTTAAGACTTGGATCTATCATTACAATTAATTAATGAGAACCAAATGGTTGAGAAGCGCAAATCCATTTTTATCTCGGGTCTTCGTACATAATCCTAGTTTAGCTTAATGTTTTAGATATCGTACCTTATCGATTGGTCAGTCGAAAGTACGAGATAATAGTCCTAAAACAAGGAGGCGATTTTAACAGTATGAAATGTTTGAACCACGATTAAACCAAAATTTTAGTACTAAATAATAGTTACCAGAGACCAAAACTAAAAAGTCACTTCATATGAGCTATACATCAATACAAGGTTCAGCTAAGGAGCCAATTAGTACTTATAAAATGAGTTACATAACATTTGTGCTAGAATAAACAAGAACAATAGATCATCCAAACTTATAAACTTGAAATACTACTTAATTATGGCATGGAGGAATAGGTCATCCGTAAAATGAGTAGTTATCTACCCTGTTAAATTCTATATAAATAATAAAATATTTCCTAATGATCCTTGGCTAATTGGCTCATCAACCTTCCCACCTGAAGGATCTTTGCTTCTTCATTACTTACTTCCCTTGTATCGGTAACACTTCCATGAACTGAATGTTGATGTGGCAAAATAAGTTCAAGCCTGGAAGTGAACTTTCAAAAGAGAGAAGGAAAAGAACACGGTCCAACCTAGTTGATAAGAATGGCAAATAGATTAGGAACTCACAAAAAGCAAATCGAGTAGAAAGCTGGAGTAGAGAATAATCTTTCCTACCTAACAGCTGAAGCCCTCGGGATAGATGGATAACCGAATAGTTTAATTAAAGCAATACAGGTGAGACCAACAATTGGTGTGTTAAACCTCATTGAAACAATGCGAGCATATTAATAGTTGGAGCCCTGCGCTGGTGACTTGAGTTGCAGCAGACTTCCCCTGTTCTGTCTTGTTCTCATCTTGTTGCTTTCGTAGAGTTTTCTAGTTGTATTCATTTCCTTCCTTTCTTTTCAAGTTGGTTGGGTAAGTTGTGCCTTATAACTAGTCTTCTGTCCCTTCCTTTGTGTTGCTTCCTTGTGTTCCTCCTGTAATTGTTCTGTTTCTTTCTGAACCTGTGTACTTTGTCGTCCTTTTAATAAAATCTAACATCACGTTTATAGGAAATAACACAAATGTATTTCACGAGCACCAATTTCTACCAATGAGGATGACCCAAGAACAACAATGGAAATCCCACTTCGATGGGCATCTTAGCAAATATTCTACAAGGATGAAACATTAGAAAAAAGATCAATGTGTCTAGTTCCTTCACGCAAGGTTGTTTACCATGGAGATATAAACACAACTAATTCGAGGAAGTTATTTACTGTGGGGGTCATCAATTTGGGAAAAGAATGTGAACACTGAAGATCCATTCAACAAAGAGCTGCAATTTTTTGCAGAAAACAATGACCAAAAGCATAAGTAAACAAAATCAAAATAAGTAACAAAATGATTGAGCCCCTAAGCATAAAAGTTGTATTATTGATACAAAACATCTTCCAGAATTTTCAATGCAAACTAGTTTCAAAAGCAATAACATTCTAACTTCTTTGAAGACAAACCTGGTGAAATGATAGAACCAACGGAGGAGACCTTCCAACCAAAAAGCGTCTTCTTAACAGATCTAAAAAGATTTTCATACAATTCCCAAAATCATCTTAAAAACCAACCATTCTAAATTCGACAGCAAATTCTCAGCATTACGACCCTCAACCTCCCACTGCACTATATCTCTTTAAGAGCAAACCTCATAAAGACGGGTTCACTCAGTTAAGTTATAGAGGTCTTATGCTGCTGCATTTGACATTCCACTGCATTATAAAAATGTAACAAGAAAAAAGGAGTCTAAACTGCATTCCTAAACACAAAGGACTAACTGATCACTCGTTTATTCCCCCCACTGAAATTTCATAGCGACAAAGTATTGATCAGAGAAAGATACAGGGTTAGTTCCAAATGTAACCCAACCCAGTTGCCCTATTTCATGATCATGTAGATCTAGTTCCAAGAGCTACTCTACTCTTAATTAAACTTGATGACTACTAGTAATTGTGACTTGAATAAAAAAGCACTAAACCAATTGAATTTAAGAGCAGCTGCAAACTAGGATCAAAGGCTTATTTGCTGTTATCTTGCAAATCATCAATTCATCTCCCCTAACTGGAACAAAAAATCATTACTACAGTCTGAATCACACACACAACACGAACTTCAACATCAATTGCCAACATATGCTAAGTCTGAATTTTTACTATGTATATGATAGAACCTTAGGGTTAGGTTCTATCGGGATTGGGGATTTGGTGTAAGAAAGGAATCACCGAGGTGGTGATTAGGTTGTTTGGAGGATGGAAGAAGGAAGGAGTTTGTGAAATGGTTAGGGTGAGGGAAGAAGGCTGCCGCCGGCAGCAGCAGTAGAGAGGGAGGAAGGGCTCGGCAGAGAGAGGGAAAGAGAGAGGAGAGATTAGGGATTGTTTAGGGTTTAATCTTGCTTAGTGGCTTAATCCCACTTACAAGTTATTTATATAATAAATGGCTAATTTCCGAATACTACCCAACAAATAATTTATCCCCCAATTCCCGAAATAGTCCCAACAATCTGAAATAGCAACAATCCGACAATTAACTAAAATTACTAAAACCGGTTTCTATCATCCCCGTTTCCTTCGAAAAACAACCTTGTCCCCAAGGTTGTTCCTCTAGCTCACTGGGTCTCTTCCTTGCCATGCCCACCTTCCTCGGCCTCATCTTCCGCTTCATTCTCCCAGCGTCCCACCAGCATCATCAAGTCCGGCTTCGGGCACTGGTGCCAGATGGTGAACCGCCCATCACAATTGAAGCACTTGCCCTCTCGCCTCTTCTGCTCTATCTCGGCTGGTGACAGTCGCACGAACCCCTTTGGTATGGGCCGTGGTCCCATCCTAGCCACAGGAGCAGAGCCTCCACCGCCTAGGTTAGCCCCGGTCGTGCCTCCCCCGGTCGTTCCACCTGCGCCTCCACTACCTCCGCTACTGCCTCCACCGCCCCCTGACTTCGGAAAGCGGCCAATGACACTCCTCCAGCTGGCCAGCTCCTCCTCCTTATGACCTGCAAGGCGGAAAGCCGCCTTCAGGGACTCAGGCTCGAACACCCTGACTGCCGCCGCTATCTCGGGCTTCAGACCCGCCATGCACAGCCCAACTAGGGTGTCTTCTGAGACCCCTTTACACTGATTCCCCAACTTGAAGAACTCTGCACGGTATTCAGCCACCGTGCTTGTCTGCTTCAGTTTGGCCAACTACTCAGGGGCCCACCCGTCTGACTTCCCAAACTGATAGCGAAGCTCCTCCTGGAACATAGGCCAGGTGATCAGAGTGGAAGCGGCTGCGTACGACTGAAAACATCCATTCCCACCACTGCAGTGCATCTCCCTCCAAATAGAAGGATGCTAGATAGGCCTTCCTCTCCTCTGGAATCGGGTGGTTTCTGAACCACCTCTCAACTGCATACACCATAAACCTGCATCCTCTTGCCCATTGAATTTAGGAAACTCAATGGTCGGAGGCTTAGCTCGAAAGACTACACCATCCATGCCCTCATAGTTCATGCAGTGAGACCCATACCTGTCATTTCCTGGAGTTCCCCACGGCTGCCCGTAAGAAAAGCCCGGCATCCGGTTCGGATTCCCCTGTCCAAAGTCACCCGGATGGCTGCTTGTCAAGTTCGGGTGCCCTCCTGGCGTTGGAGGCGCCCCGTATGGACCCTCCCAACGGTCCTGTTCCCTGCTGTCCATCCTTCGGTAATGCTGAACAGTCGGACTCGGGCGATGCCCATTCCGACCCACCTTCGGTCGACCCATACTAGTCCGACCCGGCCCGGTTCGACTCAACTCGACCCGGTCAGCCGCTGTCCGCCCGATTCCGGTCCGCCCCCCGGTTCGGTTGCCCTCCTCGGCCCGCCTGGCCCCCTCTGGTCCAACTCTGGTTCAGCCCACTTGACCGGTTGGTCCGCCAAGCTAAGCTCATCACCATCGGGCCCGTCTTCCAGTCCCAACCAGCCCAGGCCATTATGGATCTGGTTGTATTGGCCCACCAAGTCCAGTTCACGGTTCATGAGAGGCCCATCACCCTCATACCCGGGCATTTTGGCTTTTCCCTTCCAGGCTGCAATTTCCTGGGCCGTAGGTGTCGGTAACAGGCCCGGGCCCATACCTAGCCCAATCTACACCGGCCCGGTTTCCGGCCCGCCTCCTCCTGCTTGCGGTCCAGTCCCGGTCGTCATCAGCACCGCCGAGTCCCTCACAGGCGCCTCGAGACCCGCGTCGGGATCGGCGGCCCCCGTGCCTGCCGCCTTCTTTCCTCCCGTCGTGCCCGCGCCGTCACTGCCCGCTGCGGGCCCCACCGCCGAGCTGCCCTCGCCGAACGCGGCGCTCGCCGCCACGCCCTCAACGCCGGGGCCGCCCCCCAAGCCCGACCCTCCTGCCGCGGTGGCCGCCAGCGCCCCCGGCCCTCTCGCGGCGCCGCCGCCTTCTCCGACTCGCCCCAAGGCCTCGGCCAACATTGTTTTCAGCTCGCCGATGGCGAGCCACACCTTCTGCGCCTCCGCCTCGGGAGCTCGCGCCTCGGTCTCCCTAGCTCGCTCACCCTTCAGCCGAGATCGGCGCTCCTGCTCCATGGCCTCCGCCATTTTGGTCATCTCTGCACGGAGCTCCTCTCCCAGCGTCTCGTCCACCATTTCTCCATCCCGTGGACCGGGATAGTCGGCCGCTTCATCGCCGGTGGACGTTTGTCCGGTCGCCGCGTGCTCCACCTCCTGCACCGCCTTTGCGGCCTTCTCAGCTACAGCCTTGGATTTCGTGGCCACCATCTTGATCGTCGTACTTCTGTGCTCAGGAATCAAGAGCCGGGCTCTGATACCAAATGATAGAACCTTAGGGTTAGGTTCTATCGGGATTGGGGATTTGGTGTAACAAAGGAATCACCGAGGTGGTGATTAGGTTGTTTGGAGGATGGAAGAAGGAAGGAGTTTGTGAAATGGTTAGGGTGAGGGAAGAAGGCTGCCGCCGGCAGCAGCAGTAGAGAGGGAGGAAGGGCTCGGCAGAGAGAGGGAAAGAGAGAGGAGAGATTAGGGATTGTTTAGGGTTTAATCTTGCTTAGTGGCTTAATCCCACTTACAAGTTATTTATATAATAAATGGCTAATTTCCGAATACTACCCAACAAATAATTTATCCCCCAATTCCCGAAATAGTCCCAACAATCTGAAATAGCAACAATCCGACAATTAACTAAAATTACTAAAACCGGTTTCTATCAGTATTGTTCATTAACTCAAGAATCAAACCAAGAAGAAGGGATGAACCAAAAAAATAAACAAAGGAAGGGGAACCCATGATAACAAAGGTGCGGCAGTCGACGGTTAGAGAGAAGAAGAGATCAGAGGCGGATGATGGGAGCGGGGAAAGAAAGTTGCGGTCGTCTGATGATCATCAAATCCCTACGATTAATCTGATTGATCTCCCCCCTCTCTGCTGCTTGTGAATTTACCATAAGGAGGATTGCGCGGGAAGATTAATCTCCCGAGCGGCAATTTCAGAGTTTGAGAAATATATTTACTGAATTTTGGCAAAGTTAAATTCTTGAAAGAAGGTGAGTTTTCTCATTCCTTTCGTTCAATTGTTTTTTTATCAAATAATTTATTTGTACAAAACACAAGGAATTGTAAAATAATTATTTTTCGCAACACAATTTTTTAATGTGTTGCATAAATTATATAAATATGCAACTTTTAAACTGGTTTGCATACATGTGTTGCCTATAAGGGACTAAATGCAACATATAGTTTTAAGTAATTAATTTTAGTTGCCTTTACTATTATTTTGCAACACTAGAAAAAGGTGTTGGCATTGTATACTTATGGCAACATTTTTAGATAGTGTTGCAATCCGTGTGTTGCAAGAAGTCCTTTTTCCCGTAGTGCACCGGACGCCATAAGCTTTTAAGCCGATTGCACAAGGTGACAAAACCAATCCGCAGCCCAAGCAGCCGAATCACGAGAGTTCTTTGCCAGGGCGCGCAAATCTTTGCTTTGAATTCAGCTGAGACTGTCTAAGCCGGTTCCCCATTCCGATCTCCTGTCACTAGGTGATGTTCACACACCGGGGTCCATTGATTCGCCTGACTTAGAGTTGTAGCCATCTGCGGCAACCCCATATCCGCCTTAGCGTAGGAAAAAACCGGGCCGATTGTCATCTCTAATGTTTGTCCCGATTGCGCCGCCGCTACTGGAACCCGGCTCTCCTATTCCTGCACAATCAACAAAGAAGAATCAATAGCCATATCCGACAAACTGGTAGCCTGAGCCATGTTCAACGTTAAAGGACTAGAAACGTTAGCCGCCGGAGGGCTAAGGGTGTCAGGCGGATGGTCAGAGGGTAGAAGAGCCGGCGCCGGAGCCGAGATTCCGCCAATATCAGTTGAGAGCATTTTGTTAACTAGGAAACGCGGATTACAACATGATACTAATATAATCTATTGAACATAAAACAACATGGCAACATCTTAGAATGGAGTTACTTACTTACTCCACATGACGCGTTGTAATTACGCCACTCTCCAATTGTTTCATAAGTGGTAGTGGCAACTGGCGAGTAATGCCTATATTTTGCTAACAAAAGTTATCCGACCTAGGATTGTGATGCACCGGGTCGGGAAGCTAATGCTTTGAGCTAGACATTCGTACTTATTAAATTATATTTGTAACACTAAACAAACATGTTGGTTGTTGGCTGTTGGACATGTATATTGTTGACTTATATTGTAGTCCTAATGATGAAAATTTGTAACATGATTATCATTAGTTGACGTGGCGCTTCAATGCAATACAATCAATAGTCGTTACTTAAATACAAAAATTATTCTCTTGATAAACACAAGTTTACTACATGGAATAAAATGTGATTTGATTCATCCTTATCAAAGGTCAATGTTAATAACCCCCTTCAAAACTTTATTTGATTTCGACTGTCCATTGATTATGGTACTTCTTATGTTCATTGTTCAGCTAACAATTGACAAAAAAAAGTTAAAGAATCTAACAGTAGCTTTGGAAAAAATAATCCATAACGAACAGCTTGTAACCACCCAGTTAGGGCTGGAAGTTTGGTACCGATATTTGGGATATACCGAATACCGTACCGAATTCGTCTATATTTAGTATTACCGAATACACGTATTATTTTTTGGGATTGAGATTGGGATTGAATTTCAATTGTTATTCGGTATTAGGGATTACGGGATTGGGATCGGTATATACCGAAATATCGATCAATACCGAAATATAAGCTAGTGTGTATTTTATCCTCTCAACTAGACTCTCTCATTCACTACTACACGACCCTAAACCACCAAGAGTGTCATTTAATTATACATAGATCATTCTATCACTATTAGTAGTCGTCTCTCAACCACCAATTCGTCAAATTAACGATTACCAATGACAAGAACTTGAGAAATGAGAAGTATCCTCTCCTCCATTCTCCTTAATAATATCCTTATTCAAGACACTTTGCTTAGTCTTTTCTCCCTAAATTAAACAATAAAATCTAATTTATATATTAATTTATTAATGGCAAAGGTTATTAATTTTGTATTCGATAATACTGATTGGAATACCGAAGTACCGATTGGGATACCGAAATATTTAGAGATTGGGATTGGGATACCAAAATTATATAGGGATTGGGATTGAGATTGTGATTGACTTTAGGGTCTAATTAAGTATTTGGAATTTCGATATTTAGTATTGGGATACCCTCCTACACCAAGTGAGTTATCTTTTATGCCGTGTTATGAACCAAATCATTTTATGCCGTGTTATTCATGGTTCACTTTTCCTTCACTCACAGTCACAGAATTTTTTGCTTTAATTTGGATCGGCGACGAGAGAACCATAAGAAACCAAAAAAAAAAAAAACGAAATGGGATTAAACCAGATTAGAACTCAGATAGAGCAACCGTACGTAATCAAACAAACGAGAATAAAAATGGCGATTAAGGGAATTGATAAATGATAATGAAGACAAAAAAACCACTACTATGAAAATTAATAAAAAACTGAGTCATGGTTTTGGGTTTCTGTTCAATCGCATTCACTTCTTCTTCCCCACAAAAAAAGCGCATGCCCTTCTGTCAAAGGCAGTCCATAAATATTATTATTCTAGAAGAGAAAAAGCACAAGGAAAATGAGAGAAGAAAATCACGCTAATACAAATTACAATACAACGATGATGGATGGCCGCAAGCTTTGAGAGTCCGCCGGTGGCTTCACTTTCCTTCCTTCCTCCCCCCCTCTCTCTACTTCGCCGCCGGCCAGCGACTTTTCCGTGCCTCCGTCCATGGAAACTATCAATTAATCCCTTCAGTTTAAAAATATATATATGCTGGAAGTAGGATCACGGCTCCCAATTCCCGCATCATTTTTTAATTCCCCCCTCCCAAACAACAAAACCCTGAAATTCTTCGAATTTCCCTCGAACCCCTCAAATTTTTGTCCACCGCGTGTGTGAGAGAGAAAGAAAGAGCGGGTTCTCTGGGGGAGGGGGGGTTTTAGGTGGATCGAATTTCGAATCCCACTACCCATGTCAAGGAATTCGTAAAAGTTTATTTCTTTCCTCCATCTGGGTTGATTCTGGGAATTTTGATCTGGGTTAGATTTCAGGGGAGGAATAGCCAGAAGAAACAAAAAAAGAAAAAAAAATGTTCTGTAGAATGATCCTTCTGCATCACAAGAAGAAGACCGGTACGGTGCCGGTGTATCTGAATGTTTACGATCTGACTCCCATGAATGGCTACGCTTACTGGGTCGGCCTCGGCATCTACCATTCTGGTGTCCAAGGTTAGACAATTTCCCTCCATTTACGCTATATGGTTTTGTGTTGTTCAGGTTTTTCATGTAACGTAGATTAGCTTAGATCTGCGGCTAGTTTCTGCAATTACTGATTGGGTTCTTGGCGTTTATCTTGATCTGGTGTGATGCGGAAAGGGGGATTTGTTGGCTTTCGTGGGGATGATGAATTGATGATTCATGAACTTGACGTATTGCAGAGAAATTAAGAATGAAGTTTCGAGGGAGGACCGGTGAGGTGGGAAATTTGTTAATAGATTATTTGCTTTTGTCAGCAGTCAAAATGTCTGCGGGGGTGATCTTTGGTTTAGTTAGTAGTAGGAAAAGTCAGCGAAGAATTGAAATTATGGGTTGTTTAACCAGTCAATTAATCAGTCATTGTCCATGTTGTATTGGTTTCAGCTGGTTAGGTGGGATTTTGATTGTTATTGTTTATTTGAACTTTCCTCTTCTGTTTTGGCTATTCCAGATTGACCGGAGTAGTTAGGTTCCTTCTATGTCATTGCTTTTCCAATTTTGAATACTAATAGCTGTAGCTTCTCGTGATTTTAGTTCATCTTCATCCTTAATTGTGGTGGGCTTGCAGCAATAACTCTGTGAAATGTTATTTCTGAGCATTATGTTCTCTTCTTAACTTCATTTGCAGTTGGTTTGATCTGTAAGCTGGGAAAGTTTAGGACTTTATGGTGAATACTAATAATGTGTTGTTTGTAGTTCATGGAGTTGAGTATGGTTTTGGAGCTCATGACCATTCAACGACAGGGATTTTCGAGGTCGAACCAAAGCAATGCCCTGGTTTCACTTTCAGGAAATCGATACTCATCGGAAGAACTGATCTGGGTCCTAAGGAAGTTCGGTCGATGATGGAGAAAATGGCACAAGAGTATTCTGGGAATACCTACCATCTCATCACCAAGAACTGCAATCACTTCTGTAATGATGTGTGTCTCAAGTTAACTGGGAAAACAATCCCTAGCTGGGTCAACCGACTTGCTCGTTTAGGTATGAGAAATTTCCTTATCATACCTACCTGGCTAATTTGCTATTCTGCATTCATGAGCAAGTCGTGATAGTTTGATTTTTAACTAAATGAGGCAACTGAAGGGCCAAATGAAATTTTGAAACTGGTGAAGTATACTTTTATCTGTGTACCGCTGGAAAATTCATGGTATTTGTTAGAAATCTAATACACCTCTGCACTTTAGCATTGGTTTGCAGCACAGTTGGTCAAAGTTGCTGTCTTTTGTAGC